GAAATTGTCTGGAAGGTCAGTCCAGTACTCTGTCCAGTCCATGGTTATTGAATTCAGAGAAGTAGCCATCCTTGCCACAAACTGTATTCAAACCCCAAGTGTCTTTTTATTGTTTCTAGTTCTTGAAAGAGCGTTAGTTGGAATCCTTTCAAAATGTTTAATTCCTTGAAGATGAAAAGAAAGCATTCCTGAGGGCAACTTTTCTCTGGAGTAATTTAAGAAGATGTGAAATGGTCAAGTATTTCAATCCATCTTGGGTTCCTCGCATTCTCTCTCTCTCTCTTTTTCTCAAATCCCCTTGGTGGGTAGAAATGGTGCTACCTTCTACTCAAGTCAGATCCTGATCAGCAGTAAATTAATGTTGAGGGGATGGTAGCAAGAGAAGGAAAAACAGTCACCTATTCCTCAAAGCCCAGTCATATTATCCTGACATCCTGACAGCTTTTCACAGACTTACTTTATCATATTTCAAAGTCAACTAGTATCTCTGATCCATTGACTTTCACATATATTCAACAGCTGTTTCCTTATAGTTTTTTTAAACCTTCACAAGCCAGAATCACAGATTGCCAGTCCTCCCTAGGACATGACTTCATGTGGACACATCCTGAACTTTTTTCCTCTAACACCAAATGAAATGCCAAAACCAACTCAGGGTCATTGTCTGCCTATCCTTTATGTCCAGGCAGAGCAGAAAACATCCACAGAGTGCTTATGGCCAAGGATGAAGTCCTCCAAGAAAAAATAAATAAACTGAGGTTAGCAATCCATCATTCAAACCCATGACACTTGTGGACTGAGAAATTGTGAACCAGGATTGTCATCTAAACCTGACACTTAGCAATATCATTGAGTCTTTATCACTGGGATATAGGTTTCCAGTTGCTTTTATTGTTGGTCATGATGAATTTGTTTTACCCAGACACACTTCTTACTGTCATCCAAGTTGCCAAAGGAATAAATTAGCACAGCAAAATAAACTGGCCTGCAAGAGAATCCCACAGGTGACTTTGGTCCCTGGGGGCTCAGCTACCCCAACCAGTGGCTCCCTTGGCAACCATTTTTGGGCTATTGACTATAAGGGGCATTTGAGTCAGTTCCATCCATTCATGAAGACTACTCTTCTTTGGCCTTTTTCTTATTTTCCTTATTTTTTAGGCCTTTCTCACTCCCCCTCCACTGCCCCTAGCCAGTCTGGGCTTCCTGGTACACCTGCAGCCCAAACATTTCTCCAGTCTTCATAAACTCCAAGAGTGACCCAAAGTTACCAGTAGAAAAATCAGCAGAGATGCTAAGTAGTCATCCCTGAGTACTAGAAACTACTTTCTGCAAACTGGACAGTTGGTAGGATGCAGGGTATTCCTGAAATCTTCTGTAGGCATCCACAAAGCCAAACCTAAGGAGCGTTTCCAACTCTCTAGCAGAACAGACATACTCCAAGACCAAGAGATAGTGTAACCCCTGAGTAACAGACTTTATTTAATATTTTCCTAGCAAGAGTTTGTTCCTTTCTCAGAATAGTTGAGCAGAAAAACTATCTAGGTTCTGGCTAGTGTCTCTAGAATATCGCATTTGAACCTGCAAGGATTAATATTGTCGAAGTCTATAAAATATATTATGAACTTCAGATTGCTCACATTCAGATCACATTGGTTGTAGGTATTTTGTGGAATTTGAGGCCACTCCCTCCTCATCCTCTGCTAACCCCTGCCCTTGTAATCCCCTCTTCTAAGATTCTGAGGCTGAGGATATATGATAATTTAAACATACATTTTTGATTTTGACTTTCTTTGTTACTGTCCTTTCGGAGTCATGCAGCATGTTGCATTGGAAAGAGTCCTGGCAGGGATTCAAAACACCAACAATTTAGTACAAACTACCATTACCAGATGTGGAATTTTAGGTAAATCGCTAAAGGCCTCCATTTTCTTAAGAAAATGGGGGCTTATACTAGACCATTTTAAGGGTCTTCTCTTTTTAACATCTTGACAATAATTCTAGTATTTGTCATTAAAACTGTTTTAAGTAGATTTGGGGCACTTCTATAATCTTTACAAAGTGTAGCTAGACCATAAAGGACCCTTCAGTGTTACCCCCAAACACAAACTGAGTTGGGTAGAACACCATATAAACTTTATTTGTAATTTTAGTGCCTGTAATTTTAGTCCCCAGTTCTCTCATTTAAATATGATTTTAAAACATTCAAAATGGTTAAGTACTACGCTCTTAGAAACTATATTTTTACCATTATATTTTATTACTATAAAGTGATTTCCAAGAAGGGTCATTCTGCTGCAGAGAACTTCTGGGCCCATATTTATTTCCTTTACACCACGACTGAACCTCCACATGAAGCAGAGGGAGTCCCTTCATTGTTTTGGTTGGGTCAGCAGTGTCTTGGGGGAAGATGGACAGTCACAGGGAGTAGAGATGAGATCCCCCCCCTTCAACTTTGTTCCTAATCACTGAAAAGACATCAGATGAGGTTACCATTATTCTAATCTCTAAATCCTTGCTTACAATCAGACCTTAGTTTCTTTTCTCCTAATTTACTTTCTTATAATAATTTCCTCATTCTTCTTGTAATATCACAAAAATCTGTGATTATAAGCTAGCTGAACAAAGACCACATCATGTTCAGTATTTAGAAATATCAGATGCCTGGTTGGTAAGCAGAACTTAATAATAGTAATAATAGTAATTAATGCAAATACTAACATAATGGCTAAGAAGGGGCTCAACAGTGTCAGAGCAAAAATATTTGTCCATTCAATTATAAATATTATATTCAATAATATAATAATAATAGTATTGTTATATTTAATAATAAATAAGGGGAAAAGCTTTGGATGATAATCAGTAATACCAAAGACAACTGGGATATATTTTAATATAGTTGAATTGCAAAGCCATTATTATTTTTTTTTTTTTGGTTCTGCCCATTTATTTAGTCTTGTATGTTTAATTTTTTTTAATAATTTTTTTTGTTATGTTAACCACCATATATTACATCATTAGTTTTTGAGCAAAGCCATTATTTAATAGCTTTGCTTTGACTTTTGTCTCACAATTGGGAGCAAACAAAAATGTGAATGTGTGTATTTAGCAGAGGCTCTATTGAATAAGAATTATTAATTGGCTCAGGGTCAGTGCCAGGGTGAGAAGCAAATGCAAATGAATGGCCTGGTGGTCCAGAGGTTGCTCAGAGCCTGCTATGTTGCATACCAACACAAATCCTGTGTAAGGTCTTTAGCCAGTCAACCCTTGCAGGGCACTCAAACCCATTCTTGGTGATCTCTGGCTGGACCAAGTTAGGGATGTTTGAACAGCATGACTAAATTTAAGGGAAAAGAAATACAATTCCAGCTTCTGGCATGGTCCACAAACCAATGCTGGATCTTAAGCATCCCTTAGACCACCGGTGTGCTTCCCAATCACTTCTCTCCTATATCCTCCAGAAAAATCCATGCTAATGACTCAATGAAGTGAAATTACCTTCTCCTTCCGCAACCTCAAATGACTTTCCCAGTTTTGCTGTTCTTGCAGGTTCTGGGATCTTCCTCCTGTAATAGACTAATTCCAGTAAAACCCCAATGCAGATTCTTACACACACACACACACACACACACACACACCCTCAGGATATCCTGAGGATAGAGTGCAAATTCCTTAAGCCCAGAGCTAGTCAGGAGATAAGCTGTGCCTCCAGGCTCATTTCTTAACTCCCTTACCAGACGAAACCTTTGTCCCAGGCAAATGGAACCAGCAGCAAATCCTTGGACTTCTAGCCTGTCTTGCCTTTAATCACTTTAATCAAGCTTCTTCTGCCCAGCCTGCCTCCTTATCTCCATGGAGTACTTCAATGCATCCTTCAAGACCTCAACCAAAGTTCTCTCCAACTATGATTGTATCAAACCCATATGCTGACATGTGGTCAGCTGCTCGAGGGTAATGGCTATTCATGCTTGTTTTCTCCCTTCAGATTTCATCTCCTATTATTCCGCTTGGCCTTCCTATTCTTTCGCCATGCCAAGTCTCTGAGTCTCTGGCTCTTCCCTTTGTGGAGAGATCCCTTCCCTGTCCCCATTCCTGCTCTTCACAGCACTGGCTAATTCATCATTCAGCTCCCAGCTCAAATGCTACTCTTCAGAGAGGCAGTCCCTACTGTCCCAGATTTATAGTCCCCCCTCCCACATCCTCCCAATCATTCTTTTATCATCCCGTTTCATTTCTACTGAAGCATTCATGACCATCAGAAATGGTCTTCTTTATCTCCATGTTTGTTTGTTCCTTTCCTTAGTTCTCCCACCCCTTACTAGAACGTATTCCACTGCCTAGGGTGCAATAACCTTGTCTTCTCATTCACTCACGTAGCCCTAGTGTCTACAATAGTGCTTGATACAGAGTGGGTATCAGGAAATGTCTTTGGAATTATTGTATCATATGTAGGGGTTACAACTGTGGGAAGGGGTATAAATACAGTTGCAAGTATAGGTTTCCTGGTGAGTGAAAATAAAAAGGTAGGCATCCTAATGAACGTCCCCCATTCTCATCTCTTCAGCAACTCTGTCCTGAGTCATTTGAATGTTTTTACCTTTTGTCTTTCAAAGCTGTATTTGCATGTCCAGAATGTGTTAAAGACCTAAGCTTTTCAAAGCCTTTTAGAGCATATTCACTGGAACCAAACCATTTAGATTCAAGTCTCAGTTCTGTCCCATGTATGACCTTGGGCAAGTAATTTAAGCTCTTTGTGCCTTAGTTTACACATCTGTAAAATGATGCCTGCCTCAAGGGACTGTTGGGATGATTACAATAATATATGCAAGACACGCAGAACAGTAGCCATAGTAAGTACAATATAAATGTTAGTCATTAATATTAGTTGTTTTCTGTCATGTGGAGACAGGACACAATTGCCAAATCCAAATAAAAGGAGTATCTGTGGGAGATAAATGTGATGGGGAAAGTGTGTGTGACAGAGAAATGAGAGCAGTAGGACATTTGCTTCCAGGAATTCAAAACAATATAATTTATTAATTATACATTTAGATATTTGTAATACACACATATATAGGAAATATGAAAGTTATTTAGCATACCTCCATGATTTTGTGTTGATGTTATAAATTTTATTTTAAAATAGTTTAACAAAACTCATCTTGCATTTTAATATTGTAAAATAAAATCCATTATATCAAAATCTCAATCATCTAAAAATTTGTAAAAACCATGATTCAAGTCAATAATTATGTGTTTTGAGATTTGGTGGGTAAAGATGATTTCATTTGTCTATGAAGAATTTACTCTGTTCCCTTCTGGCTTTTTCAAGGTTTTCAAAAGTGATCACGCCTCTTGGCAGCTGCAACTTACTCTTTTCTGTTTCCAGTATGTTCTCAGCTTCACCTTAAATAAAGAACAGAAATATGCAAGGTGACAAAAAGGTCATTAGTGTTTTGTGAAAAGGCCAAATTACTATATTCCAGTGACAAGCTGTAACACTGTGTAGAGGCATGCCTCTAAATCTCACACTTAAATATTTTACCTGTTGTCCTCAGGAGAAGCCATGTCCCAAAGGAAGGCCATTCTTTCCTTTGGGAGGAAAAAGGAATTCTGAAGACAGAGAGAGAGATCAATCCGGGGCACCTGGATGGCTTAGTTGGTTAAGCCTCTGCCTTTGGCTCAGGTCATCCTGGGATCAAGCCCCACATCAGGCTCCCTGCTCAGCAGGTCTGCTTCTCCCTCTCCCTCTGCTCCTCTTCCCTGCTTGTGTTCTCTCTCTCTCTCTCTACCTATCTTAAATAAGTAAATATATAAATAAATCTTTGAAAGATCAATCAGATGCCATAGGTTTTACTTGACAGAAGACAGCATTTTAAGATGTAGAAGAGAAAGAATACCAAGTAATATTTTTTTCCTTGGATGGTAAGCATTAGTTGTGTTTGGAGGGTTTTGGATGGAGAAACCAAAATATAGTCTTTGCTGTATGGCCCCTTAATATGTGACATGAGAGAAAATAAAGCTTAATAAATTTCTGCTTTTTCAGGAAAGCTAATCTTTTACCCAAAACCACTTGTAAATACCCAAAATAATATTGAATGTTCTTTAGTCTGTATATATACATACGCACAAGTATAAGCATTTTTTTTTTAAGATTTTATTTATTCATTTGACAGAGAGACAGGGGGAGTGGGAGAGGGAGAAGCAGGCTTCCCGCCAAGCAGGGAGCCCGATGCGGGGCTCGATCCCAGGACCCTGGAATCATGACCTGAGCCGAAGGCAGACGCTTAACGACTCAGCCACCCAGGCGCCCCAAGTATAAGCATTTTTATAAACAATTCCTCTTTCAAGTAACAGCTAGTAATTTCTTAGGCCCAGTTGAAGACTAATTAGCAAAATTAAAAAAAATTATAATATACATTGTTGACATTCTATAAACTTTCCTTGGGAATGAAAGCAAATGTTTCTTTTTAAGTACTTCTCTTTTAGCACACAATTAATTTATATTCTAGACAGAATAGGGCAGGCTACAATTTTCAAATTATAACATTTCAACCATCTGCAATCATATTTTTTTTTTGCCTCAGTCTTAAATAGTAAGTAAAAATCATTATAAATTATATGTAATTAGACATGGGGCACCTGGGTGGCTCAGTCGGTTAAGCGTCTGCCTTTGGCTCAGGTCATGATCCCAGGGTCCTGGGATTGAACCCTGCATTGGGCTCCCTGCTCAGTGGGGAGCCTGCTTCTCCTTCTCCCTCTGCCTGCTCATGCTCTCTCTTGCTCACTCTCAAATAAATAAAATCTTTTAAAAAATATATGGAATTATACAGACCTCTAATGACAGACTAAATGTTTCCATGTGATAGTGCCTCACGTATGGCAAAATTCTCATGTGTTTGCAGAAAGACTAATGATAAAGTCTGTCAAACAAGGACTGGGTATATCTTGGGTTTATCACTAGTTAACAGGGCTAAATGTTATAACCTAAACTTTCAAATACCACAAGTTTCCTGGTAGACTGTAAAGTTGTATTTTTTTTTAAACAGGAAATTCCCACCTGTCTTGAAAGTTTAAAATTGTATGTTCTGTGGACTCTGATGGACCTGTAATAAAATTACTTCCCAAATATACAATCATGATGTTCCTAGAAAATAAACTTGTTCTCTATTAGTAATATGTTCAGGTGAATGCATATTAATTTTAATTTTTATGAGGCACTGAGAATTCTAATGTCCATATAAACAATGAAACAGAGTTGAACTCAGACTAATGAATTCTTAAGCAGATGAGTAACATGAAACTGAACATGTTATTGATATGGGCTTTAACATTGGCAAATCAGTTGTGTAGTTAGTTTCCAGCTTAAAATGGGATTGTACTCCAAAATTTAGTTTGTATATCAGTGTTTTAGAACTCGAAATACATTTTCCCATAGTGATAATGCAATAAATCACTTGCTAGGCCACCAACAAAAAACTGTTTAGTCCACAATATAGCTGAACTATGATACCGATAGTGCTTGACCCCAAGGGACCTTTTAGCAGAGCTTCTGTGTGGAAAATTCCCATCTTCAATGGGAATTTTTAAGAACATATAATGCTTGTATCTCCCTAGGCCTGGGAAAGAGATGTTCTACTCCCTACTCCCAATACCTGCAGAGGAGTCGGCACTTCCTCCTTTCCTGTACCAAATCAGTCCCCACAGAGCTTTAGCGATAGTGATGTGCTCACAGATAGCCCAGGAGAGGAAAGGATGGCAAAAATGAAGGCTTGGGAAAGCACAGTTTCCAATATGCTTTGGGTTGAAGGCTCGAGAAGAAGGGACACGGGCCCCATGAGAGAGTCTTCCTGGTACAGGAATGGCTTCCGTGGCAGTGGTGCTATTTTCTAGGGCAATCAAAGCCAGAGTTCGTGAGAGCAGCATGGTGAGGTGATTATTTAACAACCAGCTCTCCAGAAAAACAAATGTACATGAGTTATAAACTTATGAACATAAGTTTATTATAAATTTTACTTATATAAAATTGATGTAGCACATAATTTATAAAAAATAATGAAATGTTCAATATACTTTATTATAAATTTCACATAGCAAATGGATTCTCACGGAATGTTTTGCCTGACTTTTGTTGAACTCTCATATTCATAGCTAAGCTATAGTTGCAATTGATGAGGGAATATAATTTCAACATGAATGATGCTTGGTATTTTCATTTACCCGGACAAACAGGACAAAAGTGGAAACAATGACATATGTTGGAACTTTTTTTGTTTGGGAATGATGTAAACAACTTGGCTGAATCTGATAATAGTTTTTAAATGTTAGGAGAATATTTCCTCAATTGTTTGTGCTATTCACAATGTAATGGCTACTGACACAACAAACATTTAAGCATAATCCGCAGTATTAACATTTGCTTTATCACTTCCATAAATCTAGATTATGGGTTGGCAAGTTTTCTTAAAAGGGCCAGACAGTAAATAGTTTAGGTTTGTGGGGCCTTATGTCTCTGTTGCAGTAACTCAGCTCTGTCATGGTAACGGGAACACATCCATAGACAATTCAGAAATGAATGGGCATGTCTCTGTTTTAATAAAACTTTACTTTCAAAAACATGTGGCCACCCTGCAGGCCATAATTTGCCAAACCCTGGCTTAGACGGTCAACAAAATAATAATTCAAGCCTTTTTGTGGTATGTGCAGATTCCATGGTATAACTATTCCCACCATGACCAACTTCATGCCACTGAAGTTGGAGTTGTATCTGTTATTTATTGTGTGTGTATATTGTTATCTGCATTCTATCACCCAGATACAATAGATAAACATAACTTCAGAGTACAGATAATAGTAAAATTATGAAAAACTGATAAGTTCTGAGTATTTATTGCCATTGTTTTTAATATATTTTAATATTAATATTATTTTTTGTAATTTAATTGTAAGTTTATCTAATTTAATGTTTAATAATGACTGTATTTAACAAACAGCTTACAAATTCCTGAAAATTTGATAGTCAGTTCTTGTGAGCTGGTATGAGCTGACTCCAGCATACTGCTGTGAGAGGGAGCAGAAATGTTGGTCATTGGAAGCTCAGGGAGAGGCGTCTTGTCAGAATGTTCATAAATCAAGGGTCGTAAGAAGAGGATCCTTGAATCAGAAAATGAATCAGGAATACATTCTAGTTTATCAAAGACTGACCTTTCATTCTTTGTAGAAGGGTTCCATATCCTAAGTCATACTGGTATGTGAAGATGAAGCTTAATGGAATAATAGGGAAGAGGAAGGCTGGCTTCTTCCTTCTTATTGCTCTGGTTCAAGAAAAAAAAGAAAAAAATATTAAGAATGACCTGTAAAGGGGCACCTGGGTAGCTCAGTCGTTAAGCATCTGCCTTTGGCTCAGGTCATGATCTCAGGGTCCTGGGATCGAGTCCCACATCGGGCTCCCTGCTCTGCTTCTCCCTCTCCCACTCCCTCTACTTGTGTTCCCTCTCTCACTGTGTCTCTCTCTCTGTCAAATAAATAAAATCTTAAAAAAAAAAAAAAGAATGACCTGTAAATACGTATCTCTATACTCAATGAAAAAAAATTACCTGCTTTTTGGAAGAATGTTCTCCATTTTAGAAGTTACTTAGTTCATTTGAGTCTCCTATGGAAATAGGATTTTCTTACCCACAATGCCTCACCAGATTCTGCAATTCTCAAGGGCAGAATCTGTAATTTGCCCATCTTTGTTTGATGTTGAGGCTCAGATTACTCATTTAAAAAAGATTAAGTATTGATATCTGCCCCTTAGGGATTATGGAGATAAATTTGCAGAGGCCTTCTTCTATCTTGGTGTCAAGTCAGTCCTCTCTCTAACTTACATAATGGAGACAAGGATGGAAGAAATCTGAGAAACTAGAGGTAGAATTAACTATTTCTACCCTGGTTCTACAGTTACTTCCAAGTACTAAGCTATAAGGGGTTATATATATACTATTTGGACCAAAGTCCTATCTTGGCCAACTTGATAGTAATATGATAATGTCAAAAACAAAAAGAAGCAAATTATTTAAGAAAAATTTAAAGTAAATAGCAAACATACCCAGCTGTTAAAGAGATGGCTGCAATGCCAAAAAAGGTTCCAAAATATTTGAGGAATTCCCGAGACCAAGCAATCTGCAAGGCCATTTGTCTTTCTCTCATTTCATTCTGCATCATTAGCTGCCTTTCCAGCTGAGGATGAAACAAATGACAAAGTCTGGTTATTCATCTTTTGATTCTGAGCACAGAGTTAATAATCTGCTTTTCCAGGGGATTTTCATTCTTCAGTTGCTTTGATTTGTTGTTGTTTTTTTTTAAATCTCAGGAGACTTCGACTAAAGTTCTTCTGGATAGCTATCCCCACCTGTCACCTTGGCAGTGAAATCTTCCTGGAATATATACAGAATAGATGTGATATTCTTCTTCTGTGTCCTGAGGTCTCAAATGCATGTGGTCTGGGGCTTTTATTCAATCCTAAAATACATGTTCAGCATATTCTGTCACATGTGAGGAAAGATCTATGTGCCTTTAAATGCAGGTACATCTTACTGACCTTTATTACAACTTGCACTGAAATTGTTTTGCCTTCCAAATTTATCCAACTGCAAATTGACATTCGTGTGGAGTAGCAGGTCCATATCATATTATGATATGATGGTAGAGGGTATTATTCTGAGACATCAATGGAGATTTTTCTTTGCCACTATTCTCTTGATGCCTCAAGTCCTTTGTCACTTTAGTCAGTGTCTTTCACTGCAGTGGAGCAGAAAGCAGGTATAGCCCAGAACACAGAAGGAGACTGGATTTCTGGATGGATTTTTAGAAAACACACAAGAGAAGCAACAGTGTAGAAACCCATTATTTTGAGAAAGATTCTTGAGAGAGAGAAGTTTTTTAAATTCTAAAATCTTGGCACTGTGTATCGTTAGCAGAACCTAGAGGAGAGCAAGCATCGAATCATGATGTAGACCATAGGGTGGGGAGGAATAAGTAATAATGTGTCTCAGTTTTCTTGCCTTCTTTATACTGTGAGAAGAAACTGGAAGAGGAAAAAGGAGACTTAAGGTATAAAGATGGGGCTTGGTTCCTTGGCCTCTCTTAGGGGTTGAAACTCTGGAGAGTTGTGATGGATTTGGGATTTGGGGATCCCTGGACAGAGAGCACTTGTAGACCTATATTCTGTCAAGAATTCTGGGAAGGGGCAACTAAAGTAGAGCAGAAATGGTTTCAGGGCAGATCTAAGCTTAGAGCAGACCTGAAAGAGGCCACCTAATCTCCCTCAGCTGCCAAGGGGTGTGGAGAATGTTTGCAAGGTTCGCATATCAACCTGAAGAGGGGCACAGTTGGTAGCTGAGAACTGAAAGCAGGTGGCTTACCAGGTAGTCACCAAAATCTAGAGACTGGGGACCCTTTAATAGACACTTAGGTAGAGGCCATAAAACAAGTGCTGGGCAGGGAAAGTGGCTGGATGTCAGAGGATTAGCAGTACCCTCGAGTGCAGAGGTGATGGCCAAACCAACCTGAAACATGGTGGAACACCCAGAACAGATCACCCAGCACTGCCCAGGTTGATCAAACAGAAAATAACTACAGAAGCCTCCTCCAACCAGAGATGCCTTCCCCGTGACCATGCCACTCAAGCTCACTTGGACTCAAACAGAGATGGGGCAGGGAAAAAAATGGACAGAGAAGGGGAGAGGGCCAAGCTGAATTTTAAGAAATGAGTTTTAAGGTGAAGTAAGTTTTAAGGTGAAGTAACTGAGTCCCTTTGACTTGTCAAAATTAAATTTGCCCTCAGCAGTAGAAATTGAAGTTCATTTTGGGTTCAGTTAGAGAGTAAATAGTGTTTTTGCATACATGATTATTTAGCATGTGAAATTCATCCTTGCTGTATTACTTATTTAAAAAACTTACATGATAGTTCATAGTATCCCTCCGAAGTGGTGTAGAATGCATGAATTAATCATTTGTGTTGTTATCAAAAGGCACTGAATCCAGTCATGACACAGATGAATGCAAGATCAGCAGTTCTGAATCTTAACTGCACATTGTGAGCATCTAGGGAGCTTTTCAAAATCTCAATGTCCAGGCCCACATGTCAGACCAATAAAATCAGGAGGGACCAATGAAACCAGGATCTGGAGTTAGGACCAGTCATTAGTATTTTTTAAAGGTTGCCACATAATTCCAGTGTACAGCTAGGATTGAGAACCACTGCCTAAAAAAACTCATAGCCTAGGTTTTTCCCACCAAAGATCAAGCTGAAATATCAGTCTGAAAACTGATCCTCTTGGAACTCTCAAAAGACTGGGGACAAGAGTGCTTTTTGAGGTGGTGGAACTCATCTGTATAGTACTGTCATGGTGGATACGTGATACCTGCATTTGTCAAAGCCCTTTAAACTTCACAGCACACAGTGAACCTCATTGTCTACAGTAATGGGGCATCCAAGTTGGGATTCTGGGACAGAAAAAGGACATCAAGGAAAAACTAATGAAATTTGAATATGGAATTTATTTAAAAGTGAAATACCAATGTTAATTTCTTAGTTGTGACAACTGTGCCATAGTAATGTAAGATATTAACTGTAGAGTATACAAAGGGTAGGGTATTCAAGAACTCTGTCCTCTTTTTCTGTAAATCTAAAAGTGTTCTAAAATTTATTTTTAAAAATGGTTATGAACAAATCTTATATTCTGGGTCTCTTCTGAGAAGAACAGAGGCACATATCTCCATATATCATAGATAAATTGTGAAAATCAGCAGGATTGTGTATCTGCAACAAACTCTGAGCCTAGAGTAAAAAAAAACAAAAAAAATATGCATACCTTTTCCATGGGCAAACATTTCCTGATGAAAGATGTCATTGAGCTATAATTTTAATTATCAATTCAAGCTTTATTAACTACCTGTACTTCATAAAATTATGCTTAAAATCATAGGTCTAGATGTAAATACATTTAAAAATTCAAATTAATAAGGGGCACCTGGGTGGGTCAGTCGATTAAGTGTCTGCCTTCAGCTCAGGTCATGGTCCCAGGGTCCTGTAATGCAGCCCCGAGTTGCGTCCTGCTCCCTGCTTAGCAGGGAGTCTGCTTTCCCCTCTCCCTCTGCCTGTCCTCCTGCTCGTGCTCTCTCTCTGTCAATCTCAAATAAATAAATAAAATCTTAAAAGAACCAAATTAGTTAATAATTTATTACCAAACTTCTTCAGTAGCCATAAAGGGATAATTATGTTGATGCAGTTGTTAATTTATCAATAATAGGCATCATGTAACTAAGTGTACATTCATTTTCAACATTCTTCCCCCAATATTGACACTAATGAGAAACAAGAGCAAAAGAGAACATGTACAGTAAGTTTCTTTAGCAGTCTTTAACCCAAATCATAAATGTAAAATTCTTTATTTTATTTTAATTTAATTAATTAGTTATTTTTAAAGTAATTTTAAAAGACTTGTTTACAAGAATGTTTAATTATAACTCTGTGGTCATATGCCAAGGAATAATAACTAAATCTATGTCAATTTATTCTCCTCCTTGTTTATGTATTTATTTATTTGAAAACCAATTAAAATATAGTGTATTATTAGTTTCAGGGGTAGAATTTAGTGATTCATCAGTTGCATACAACACCCAGTGCTCATTACATTAAGTGCCCTCCTTAACGCCCATCACCCAGTGACCCCATCTCCCCACCCACCTCCCCTCCAGCAACCCGCAGTTTGTTTCTGAATTAAGAGTCTCTTATGGTTTGCCTCCTTCTCTGATTCGTCTTGTTTTATTTTTCCTTCCTTTTCCCTATGTTCATCTGTTTTGTTTTTCAAATTCCACATATGAGTGAGATCATATAATTGTCTTTTTCTGATTGATTTACTTCACTTAGCATAACACCCTTTAGTTCTATCCATGAGGTTGCAAATGCAAGATTTCATTCTTTTTGATGGCTGAGTAATATTCCATTATATGTATATACCACATCTTCTTTATCCATTCGTCGATGGACATTTGGGCTCTTTCCGTATTTGGGCTATTGTGGACATTGCTGCTATAAACATTGGGGTGCATGTGCCCCTTTGAATCACTATGTTTGTATCCTTTGGATAAATACCCAGTAGTGCAATTGCTGGGTTTTAGGGTAGCTCTATTTTCAGCTTTTTGAGGAACCTCCATACTGTTTTCCAGAGTGGCTGCACCAGCTTGCATTCCCACCAACAATGTAGGAGGGTTCCCCTTTCTCCGCATCCCCGCCAACATCTGTCGTTTCCTGACTTGTTAATTTTAGCCATTCTGACTGGTGTGAGGTGGTATCTCATTGTGGTTTTGATTTTTATTTCCATGATGCGGTGTGATGTTGAGCATTTTTTCATGTGTCTGTTGGCCATTTGTATGTCTTCTTTGGAAAAATGTCTGTTCATGTCTTCTGCCCATTGCTATTTTTAAAGAATTTTAGATCTTTTCATAATATTAATTTTTTTGTTTCTGTTATTTTTTGGTTTTGCTTTACAGAACAATTTGAAATTAGAATGTTTCAGATTATGACTTCAGACTAGTGACCTTACAGGTCTATGTGATACTACTTTAACAATTATAGAACCATAGTTAATTTTAAATAGAACATAATAAAAGGGAGCTAGCTTATTAGAAATAATTGTATATAGTAGGAGAAACCACATTCTGACCATCTGCACAAAACTGTTATATCTGCGGGCGCCTGGGTGGCTCAGTTGGTTAAGCGACTGCCTTCAGCTCAGGTCATGATCCTGGAGTCCCGGGATTGAGTCCCACATCGGGCTCCCTGCTCAGCAGGGAGTCTGCTTCTCCCTCTGACCCTCTTCCCTCTCGTGCTATCTCTCATTCTCTCTCTCTCAAATAAATAAATAAATAAAATCTTTTTAAAAAAACTGTTATATCTACTCTTTCTTATTTTAATTCATTTTTTTTGTTTAAAAAATATTAAGAACAGCCACAAAATTACTGATCTCAGTAATTTGTCGATCTCTTGAGTTTCAGAAGGGACAGTTACATAAAGGTCCACAGACCACTTAATGCAAGTTTTCCTTGCATTTTGTATTAACAATAATACAATGATTAAATTTTACTTGGACACATAAAACATTTTCAGAGCACAGAGAAGGCAATGACAGTGTCCTATAAATTATCTTCATTGCATTTTTTTATATTGAAGCCTT